GTCCTTGGTTCGTTGTTGGCGAAGCCGCTACGATAAGTCGAAGCTCAAGGGACTGATTTGGACTCAAATCGGGATGTTCGTCAGTCGCATAGACGATTATTCGTCCTAAAGGTCAGCATTGGAGTAAATTGAGGCTTAAACAAACACTTATTAATTAATGGTTTCAGAGAGTTTCAGCTTTGGTCGCATATAAGAGTTATCCAACGAACTTTATTTCAAGTCAACAGAGCAGCAGAATTGATAATCTCATTTATAACGAATTAGTCATGAATAGATTTTCCAATTAATGTGCAGTTTAATGATGCGTTTATACATGGATGCTTGCTTATTCTAAAATTAGCGACAGATGAAAAGCTTTTTCCAAACTAGCACGAGGTTGGATATTAGAATTATTTTAGCACGAACGTTTTAAGCAGATTTTTCAGGTAGCGTTTTATGCATGCTTGTATTTATGAGCGATGCGGCAGTCTGAAGAAAGTTTTATAATCAATTTTGATGGCAAGTAATCTCGTTATTTATCATGCTGAAATCTCATGTCCGATTGTTTCAAATCGGTATTAATTCGTCGGAAATCTGCAATAGAGGTTGATACTTAAATAAAGATTAGTTTTAATTTACTCCGTAATTGCAGTTTCAATGAAACTTAGTTACTTGTAATTTTTCACTGCAGAGAAATCGGTCCTTAAAAATTTCGCGTTTTGTTTCGAGTTGAAGTTGAGTTGCTGGCGTGGCAACGGCTCGCTCATTTATCAGCGATTCAATGATGGGAATAATGCTTATCTCCTCGTGTTAATTACTCTCCATATCGTATTTTATTTCGCAATGAACCATTGTAAGGCATTCACAATATAATAACTCACAACAGTGTTTAGGAATGGCTCAATTTTAAAGAAAGTCGCCCTATTTCCCATGGTAATGCTGTTTACTCACGTGAATGCTTGATCAACTTGATATGCGCAGGCATTATTGTTACAAGATTTGTCAACATTTACTCGGTGGGAAATGAATGTTTGTGTACATTTAAGAACACGAATATGATGGTTAGTATATCAGCTGACTTAAAATTTCACGCTGGAAATAACAGAAAATTTTGAAGAACATTTTTATATTAAATTATTCCAAGAAATGATTTAACGATCAATTCATAGAGTGAAAATGAAACAAAATTTTACTATATTGAATAATTTATTGTTTTAAAATATGATTTGTATGTTAAGGGTACTAAATGTGAAAGGCCCATTAATTTCTATTCAGTAAACATCGGTACTTTCTATCCGTAGGCTGGAGGTCTGCACGAGTTGTAAAGATGGCCAGCATATGAAAGCTGCTCTAAGCCTGACATATATAATATAATATATATTTGGCCATCAGGCATTGCACGATAATCATGTTGTTATTCAACGAGACGCGAATATTGTTCATTCGTTAGGTCAAAATATTTTAAGCATCATACCAAATGGTCATAATATTTTTCGCAATTTTAATTTTTCAAATATTTTTATCTCTCTTATAGTTGTACGGGGAGGCGGGATCACGATGAAAGCCGTCAAGCCTATCAATAATAATAATCCTGATTTGCGTTCAGTTTCCATGTGTTTTCAATAGGCAATAAGACCAAACATGGAGCGTTTTCTTTGAATAAATTTCATGAGTAATTTCTCCTATAAATTAGTTTGTAAATTTGACGCTCGGCGTCAAATTATTTTTAGAGATTTGGATTTGACTAGATTTCTAGTGATTTGGTAAATTTGACGCTCGGCGTTTAGCTGCAGTCTGCTATTTCCAAAAAATCATTATTGAATTCTCCGTTCAAATAACCCGTATATTTTTCGGAGCAATTCTTCGAATGAGCTTGGATGAAAGCCTTGTTCGTACTATTGCTTTATTGCCCAGCGTTCCGGAAAAACAACGGTATTTTTTACGTTTAGAAGGGCTTTTTATAATGAAGACCCACGGACCCTCGATTCATCGGATGCACGCTTGTTTTGTGCTTAAAAAACAAGTTACTAATTGGCCATGCTGCTCCCATTCAAAGAGTAACAACCTTTGCGCTAGAACAGTTTAACGAACCAACTATTTATAAAATGCGCTTTGATTTGAAAATGCAAAATGATTTGACGGAATATCCTAACCTTACAATTTGCCGGGAAAATCTACGATAAATAAAAAATTGAATACCTGATGAGTTGTGGAACTAAAATCATTCTGGCAAACAAGCAGTTGATTTGTTTCTTATAAAGGATGAATTTTTATAAGATTATTGTAAAGATTTCTAGACTCTCTGTTGAAAGTTTTTAAATGCATTCATTTATCCGGTCTAGGTACAGTATATAGTCCATACTTCAGTCGTCATGTCCGTTGTACGAATACGTAGCTACAAAACGATGTCATCGAATCCCGGTTTTCTCTCAATAAATTGATAAGTGCAGTCGAACATAATAACTGATTCAAATGTCGTGCTTAATGTATGAGCGTGCACATGTGTTGACAGGAGAGTGCAATGTCTTAATAAGCGTTTCTCTTACAGGAATCGTTCAGCAAGCATTAAAATGTATCCTAATTATTCCTCAACAGGGGACCACTATGAATAAATTATTAAAATATATACAGAATCTTATCAAAGAATTTCAAAGCATTTAGTCGGCGACTACCCTTTATTCTCCACAGCATATAACTGGAAGATACAAGCATATTTTTGCGTGTTTACGAGCCTTTCCTTTATGCGCTCTAACGCTGATAGAATTTTGTTGTTAAAATTGCTTGCGTTGTTGTTGTTAATTGCTTGCGTTTTTGTTAGGAGCAGCGCTTGTAAATTCAGATAATTAAAAAACTATGCGCCTGCCATAAGGAAATCCCTTCAACTTGAAACTAATTATTCGGTAAAAAGTTTTTCGGGAAAATTATAATTTTCTCATAACTTTTGGAAATACAGCTTACAACCATCTTTTTGGGCTAGTCTTAAAACTTGAAGGTCAAGTTCGCATGTTTTTTCGCATACAATACCGGCGACAAAATATCGTCTTGCCGATAATCGACAGGTGCGAGCGATATCTAGTACAGGCAATTCACCAGCGTCGGTCCTTTATATTGAGCTCGGCCCACCCTTGATACCGCGGCCGCCTCTTTGCAGCTTCTTCTGACCTCTTAAAAGATGGTAGTGTTTGGCGGCCATCCTTTAACACAACTCAACCATATTACTGTTGCCGGCCAAATAAACTGTGTCTCTGTGAATTCCAATCCAATAATTTAATTTGCGCTTCTGGTAAAATGATGATCATATCAAATATCATTATTATCAAGTGATTATCTACGAAATAGAAACGAATAGAATTATGTAATCATTTTTATATTACCGGTGTTCTTTAATAACATTGTGGGACAACTCCACGATGAAGACATGATCGTCAGAATATTACCGTTATACTGTCATTATCATGATAATGCAAGAGTTATGAAGACGTGGCCACGAAAATAATACAAAACAACACTTATTGGGACGATGAAACATGCAGTCTGCGAAGAGAAACTCAATTAAAACTCCTTAACAATTAAAGTTTGCTCGTTAATTTGCGCTAAAGAGTTCATGACTTTTGCTCGCTCGTTTCCTGATTTTTGTCGAGACTTCCCAAACTTGAGCCAAAAACTCCAGGCCTGATTATTTATTATTTTTTATTTGTGTCGTCCTGCGGGGAGAAGCAACTGTGCTTGCGAATTGATATACAGACGACTTACGATTAAAGGAAATCAATTACGATTACCAAACAAGGAATCGAGAAAAGTAACGCATTATTTTGCACGTTTTATTGAAATGCCAGTGGCGACGGAAGCAATTACTTGAAAATTTTTAATTATTATGTAGGTCAGTAGTAACAGTTGTTGGAAGAACATTAATAACAACAATTAATGATAATAACAATATTTACACAAGATCGACTCGTGTGTATGATTTTGTCAAATTGTTCACTAAGAATTTTTTATTCATAGCAATGCAAGAGACCGGTGACAATAATCAATATCAATCAATATCAATAATTACATGAATAATCATGTAATCAATAATTACATGAAATTTAGCTAATTTTCAGTCTAGTGGAGACTGCCATTACATGTTCTTACAATGCAACTAAGGCTCAGCTTCGGATTCTCTGAGCTCTCATTTCATGTAAAATTCTCAGAGCTCGAGTGGCTTGCCGTGCATTCCTCGCTAAATTACCAGCACTGAAGTGAGGTTTTGCGATCTCAGCCAACCGTTGGGGCAAATGTTTGCCTTGAATCTGAACATTTCGTCGACCTGAAATTCAACTGGTCACATGAAAGAAGGAAAAGTTCTAACGGACACTGACTCTGATGATGGTTTCTTTCAACTAAAGTACTAGAACAGAAGAGTTTCATTGAGAAAGGAAATTACTCCCAGCAAAGTAGCCTTGGAAATTGAAGAACCATGAGGTTTGAAGTTATATATCACTTATCTCTCAGGGCGCTCAAATTTTATCTGAATTGGGGCTATACGCGTTATTTATAATTCTCAATTAACTAACCACTGCGAAATCGAGATTTTTTTATAGGATTTTTAAAGATTCCAGTCGTGGCGCAAACGGAACGAAGCGACATCAAACTTTAGGTTCCTGATTCTAATGAAGGTTTTAATGAATACGAACAAGGACGTTGGTAGCAGCATAGTTGAACTAGTAAAAGGTTGACCCAAGAGAAGCTCATTTTTGCAGATGTAGTTTGTTGTTCGCTTGTAGTTTGTTTCGGTGATCGCGTCACGGATCACCGAAATGCGATCAAATTAACTAGTCAACCGATCCGTCATGAGAATGAAGAGATTGTTTTCGTTTCTCGATCTGAGTGACGTAACAAGAAAGCTGAACTAAAAGGCGAAAATTCGCATGGGTCAACCTTAAATAGTTCAACCATGGGTAGCAGCGTTTGTGATAGCATCTGCACGTCGCAGCTCGTGCATGCATATACCCCCTGCCTGCAGGCGCTGCCTTAAGATGCCCGGTCACCTACAGTCATCCTGGAACAGCCTCATTGTCCTGTTCCGGTGCCTCAAGGTGCCCGGTCACCTACAGTCATCCTGGAACAGCCTCATTATCCTGTTCTGGTGCCTCAAGGTGCCCGGTCACCTGCAGTCACACTGGAAGAGCCTCATTATCCTGTTCCGATGCCTCAAGGTGCCCGGTCACCTACAGTCATCCTGGAACAGCCTCATTATCCTGTTCCGGTGCCTCAAGGTGCCCGGTCACCTGCAGTCATCCTGGAACAGCCTCAGGCACCTTGAGGCACCGGAACAGGATAATGAGCTGTAAACTTTAGCCTTGGAGCCTCGTCAGCCAGGCAGAGTAACGAAGTCAAGTGCTGGAGGAGTTGAGTTGTCCGATGGGAACCGNCGTCAGCCAGGCAGAGTAACGAAGTCAAGTGCTGGAGGAGTTGAGTTGTCCGATGGGAACCGAGTTTTGAACTTTGCATGGATTTTTAGAGGCACGCGGTGCTAACTTATTTTACTTGCTTCACTAATAATCTCTAAGAAGATACTAATCTCATACGAACTCTTCGGAAACTGTTAAAGTTGAGCTGCGATTTGATTTAAATTTTCCATGCTGAAGTTGAAACATAAATTGATTCGATTAACGGCAAGAAGCTGAATGCAAAATGAGTACGTGTGAACAGCTTCCAAACAGCCGATTCTCATTATTAACGATAAATATTTCCTTGTAAATTGTTGTCAATTTTACATTTGTAATCGCATGGTCAGTTAGATAATCTCAGTAAAAACTAACTTGCAAACAATTATTGTGAAAAATAATAATAAGATGCGCTAGGAGACACAATTAATGGGTTTATGAAAATACTCACGGTGAACAAATGACGAGTCTTTTAGGCACTATAATGTCTAGCTGGCAAATTGCATGTTTGCTATAGGCAACATAAAGACCGTTTTAACCTCAATTACGCAGTGTACCGTCGTGTGTACTGTGCTGCCTATAAACTGCTGGTATGGATATAATTTGTAATGGACGATGTAAGAAGAATCTGACATAACCAGCTTATACGAACAAGCCTCAGCTTTGACATGGTCACAGTTGAGTGACAATCCATGCTTAATGAACGCCATTTGTCATTCAAACCACACTTTAAACTATTCAAACCATGATGCTTATAGAAAAAATTCGTAATTTTCAAACATAATTCTAGTTCAGCTCTCATACTTACATCGTTGATACAAGATGGAAAATCTCATGCATTTTCAAGCGTCATTTTCCTTCACACTGAAACGCACTGTTGAAATAAGGCCCAGCAATTGGCCAGCAGTCGCATACGCAGCATTTCACAGTTCATTGCAGAACATCGAACTGATCATATCACAGGCATGATCAAGATCCGATTCTATCTCCAATTAATGTTGAATTTAAACTTAAAGACTATCACTAGAAGGACAAATATTTTAATTTGTATCGTAATTTAAATTTAGATTTAACCATAAATTTCTATAACATTACCGTAGATTATCATCAACTTTTCATCGAAACCATTATCAACTTTGCCGCTTCTTGGCATGGAAATCTCAATGCAACGAACGTTCTCGTATTAGCTGAACAACAAAAACTTATATTTCTCAGCCTCACATTTCCTTTTTAGTAAAATTGTCCTTCAGTCCAGTTTGCAGAATAGTGAAGTTATTTGTCTGCTTAGGAAATGAACCTAGGCAGCTTTCATGGAGATCTACTTGCATGTTTGCTGTTCTGAGACGCTACGGTAAACCAACACAGCATTAGCGATGTTGCCATCCCCTCTTCTTGGGAGTGGAGGCTCAGTGGACTTTAATGTCTTAAGCAAACGTTTGGTTTGCGGCAGAGTTTTTTTTTTCCGAGGATACCAATTTTCATAATAAAATGGTTCTAAGTAAATGGATGTCAAAATAGTCGAAAGAGTTTTCGAAAAGATTTTTTGATCCGCTTATTGTTCACAACATTGGTACGAACATATTTCGATTCTGCACGGTTCGAATTAATCAAAAATGTTGAGTTCAAGGAATTGTGTGTTCCAACTTTTTCAGGCACTATCACCCATGTTGACTCAAAACCAAATAATATTGAATGAGAGCCAACATGAGACACAGAGCTGTAAAAAAGTCCTTGTTCAGGGAAATGCGCTGAAGGCTTCTTGATCGATGACAAGAAACTATTAATTGTTCATGTATAGCTTTGATATTCGCCGATGAATTTATCAATGCTTTCTAAGGCCATATTCAACTCGCAAATCAACCTTGGAAAAACCACATTAATTAAATAAAATATGTCTGCAACCAGATATACTCCTAGCTGCTCAATTTTGTTCCGTCGTGAGAAAAGTTTGCGTAGGGCAAACTACCAAAATTTCAAGTCAGGGATCTCAGTATAGGGAACTATATCATGATCCGAAACAATTAAATATCCAGGCCTACTCATTTAGACCGATAAGAAATTTGACGAATATCCATCTTGACTCCGCGCAGAACATTGCTTGGTTAAGTTGGTATTAGAAGACAGGAGAACTGCGCAAAATTTAGGGTTAGTTGCCTTCTTTCTAAGTGAAAAACTGAATATACACAAACAGGATTCATTTGGTCATGTCAAGGAATTCTAGTCGGCGATTAAGAGGAAAACTGACATAACAGAATTCTACGCAGATTTGCATCAATTGGCAGCATGCAAAAAGAAGATATAGCGGCAAAACATAAATCTAGCTATAGTCTCCTTGCCAGAAAGAAAAACTGAAAAAGTGAGACACTGCAAAGGCGACAGTCCTATTGTCTGTCAGCTATTGAGTGAGATTCCGCTCCCCTTTATTGACGCCATAAAAAAAATCCTTAGTTCATATCATGACCGACATGACACCCTGAGCTTAGGATAATTTCTTGCAAATGAAGGCAGGGAGTTGAGAATGAATTACAGCCTTTACAGCGAGACTTAAAGCATGGAAACCGGCTCAACAAGTCTAGGGAGGTCGATTTTTGTTTTCCTCACCCAGTTGTAGATGTACTGCAAAATTCTTTTTTGTTATTAAGCTAATTAAGTCTTGAGTTACTCGATCTTAACCTTTTGCCTTTCGATGCCTTAAAAGTCGTCGATGTTTCGGGTCTGGAAATCAGAGTTATCAGTAGTTGACAATTGGTGAAAATTGTGTTTGTTGTGAAATTGTTTTATTTCAAAAATGTCGAGCTAAGTTACTGATGAATTTATGGAACTCTTTATTTTGCGTGTGCTCGTCTTGTATTGTGCAATTTCAATGTCGTGATGACCATAATGCACCATATCTATTCCTCTAATCAACCCAGCCCCTTCCTGATGGTGGTGATGGTGGTAGCTGATGCTGGGTGTCAAGGGGGATGATGTGGTTCATTAATAACCACTAAATTGGTGCTGCCAGGTGGTGAAGATGCAGGTGGTGGAGTTGTGCACAAAATAATAAGCTCAATTTTATTTAATTTTTGGCAGCGCCATCCGAGGCGTGCTGTTAAATAAAGATGCTACTTCTGGAAAAATTATTTATAAACGAAGCACAGGCGACGAACAAAAGCCTTATATATAGTCTCCTGCTCTTCTGGAGCATCGAGTTCTAGCTTCAAACGAAGAAGTTGAAAAATAACACTATGACGCAATTGCACCAAGTCTGAGTGTATAATCTCTGATATAACAAGCTATTCTCTTAGTTATTTATCTATTAAAATATAAATATTTATTCACATTTCCATGCACTNGTTTTATGGACGACAATAAAAGCCTGGTCTGCTAAAATGACGATAATTTTAAAGCCAGTGTGTTTATTTAGATCGTATAAAGCGAGGGCACGAAAGTGAGGCACGGTTATTGTCGTAAATCGAATAAGATAGCGGCCCCCTGCCGGCCATTATCTAATTTGTGGCGCACGGTTCAGCATCCCGTATATAGGACCTGTCTCTTATACACATCTAGATGTGTATAAGAGACAGGTGTAGACGCAGAGATTACACTGCGGGAATATAAACGTATTGCACATAATCATTAAACGGAACTCCTTTGTCGCTGATATTCAGTAAAATTTAAAATGAAACGTCAGCAGGCGTCGCTACTTTATATAAAAAAACTTATAAATAAATAAATGATAAAAATATTTATTTATTTTATGTATTTAATTATAAAATTAGAAACAAGGTTAAGTTCTTCACGGACAAAATTTTCGAAAATATTGATTAAAAATATGATCTGACAAACTTTCGTATAGCTCAAATTTTTAACGGCCAAGATTTTGGAGCGGACCAGATTCCGACGCGGTCAAATTCTGTTTCTTTGTTTCAGAAGTTAAAAAGATTATAGCCCTCAACTGAGCCCTCACCTCCAATTTACTCGTAAAAATGGCTATAGCGAACGTCGGAGATACTTATTCTTTCTCCGCAATCAGCTGGATTCCAATCATTAGTTACAGCTAGAAGGATTGAAAGTTTGTTCGTTAGAGCGTGAGTGCTAAATACTACAAGATGCTAATTAATGTAGGCGCGAATAAATTCACTTTCAAGTCCGTAAAATTTATTACTGCAATCTTTATTACGTGATTACCTGGAGCAAAACAGTTCATTTACATTTCATTTAGGAATCAAGCTACCTAATATTTCTATGCATTCATTTTCAATTTTCATAAGTGCTCAAACTATATTATAATAGAATTGATAAATTAATACTTATAAATATTTCTTATTTAGGAAGCAAAAACAAATTTTGAAAGTTTTTTGTTTGCTGCCACTCATCACTCGGACATACAACGAGTATTTGAAATGCTAGGTGAATAGAATACAAGGAAACGTTCTAGCCCTTGCGTTGCGCTCAGCACATGACACAGCACATCTAATCCAGCATGGCATCATTATATTTAACATAAAATTTATTTCTCCATAATTTCACGGTTTATTATTTACAATCTCAACAATTTACGTAACCTCTAGCGTATCAGAACAGCTTTATTTTCTGAAGCTGCTCACTGAGTCACCGGCACCAACACATGCTTAGCACTTGGGTGTAGCAGCCAAAAGCTAGCAACTGCATGGCGGTTTATCCTGCCTAACTAATTAAGTGTGCCAAGAAATATTTACCTTCTCATTGGAACCGTTCTTAAAAAACGCTTCTTTTCTTCGCAACACACAGGCTGCAGGAGAAGCAAATCGGCGCAGTACATCTTGGCAGCAATATGGGCTTTAAACATGTGTGTTGTGCGCTAATGATGCTCAAGTTGTCTTGATTATATAATTAGATGATCATTACTTCATGAAGTGTGGGATGGTTCTATATCGTT